TGGGGGGGGGGGGGGCGGGAATGCAAGACCAGGACTCCTCGCTGGCCTGCAAGCTTTGGTTTGGACAGCTAGAAAACTCCTGAGGGCCGGGTCTGCAGATTCAGAAGCGCCCGGGTTAGGAGACGATCAGCAGTGAGCAGTTGGGGTAAAAGACCACACTTGGCCGAAGCCCACTCCTCAAGCAATACTTCATCCTCCTCCACTAGACGCCTCCGGGGAGCCAGAGCGGAGCGGGCTCGGTGTGCTGGTTCTCGGCAAGCCAGGGCTAAGACCGGGCGTGGAAGGAGCAACCAGAGACGCCGCGGTAGCGCGGGGCGCACTGGAAGTGCAGGGGACGCGCCCGCCGCCTGGGCTGCAGCGCCCGTGACCTCTATAGTTTCAGCTGGGAACCTGGGCAGAGGAGTAATTGAGAAACCCACGGAACTGACTGGCAGCAAGGAACAAGCCTGTGTTCTCCACGGTTCTTCCGCCCGTTTCTTCGCTCCATGCCCAAGAGCTGCGCGCCGGCGCCGGGGCGAGAGCCATGGAGGAACCAGGTGCTCTGTGCGCCCCGCCGCTGCCCGCTGGCTCCCAGACCGGGGTTCCTCAAACCAACCTCTCCGCTGCTCCCTCCCACAACTGCAGCGCCGAGGGCTACATTTACCAGGACTCCATCGCCCTGCCCTGGAAAGTACTGCTGGTTATCCTGCTGGCGCTCATCACCTTGATCACCACGCTCTCCAACGCCTTTGTGATCGCCACAGTGTACCGGACCCGGAAGCTGCACACCCCGGCCAACTACCTGATCGCCTCCCTGGCTGTCACAGACCTGCTGGTGTCCATCCTGGTGATGCCCATCAGCACCATGTACACGGTCACCGGCCGCTGGACACTGGGCCAGGTGGTCTGCGACTTGTGGCTGTCGTCGGACATCACCTGTTGCACTGCTTCCATCCTGCACCTCTGTGTCATCGCTCTGGACCGCTACTGGGCCATCACGGACGCCGTGGAGTACTCAGCTAAAAGGACTCCGAAGAGGGCGGCAGTCATGATCGCGCTGGTGTGGTTCTTCTCCATCTGTATCTCGCTGCCGCCCTTCTTCTGGCGTCAAGCCAAAGCCGAGGAGGAGGTGTCGGAATGCATGGTGAACACCGACCACATCCTCTACACCGTCTACTCCACGGTGGGCGCTTTCTACTTCCCCACCCTGCTCCTCATCGCCCTCTACGGCCGCATCTATGTGGAAGCCCGCTCCCGGATTTTGAAGCAGACGCCCAACAGGACCGGCAAGCGCCTGACCCGAGCGCAGCTGATCACCGACTCCCCGGGATCCACGTCCTCGGTCACCTCCATTAACTCGAGGGCTCCCGACGTGCCCAGTGAATCCGGGTCTCCTGTCTACGTGAACCAAGTCAAAGTGCGAGTCTCCGACGCCCTGCTGGAAAAGAAGAAACTCATGGCCGCTAGGGAGCGCAAAGCCACCAAGACTCTGGGGATCATTTTAGGAGCGTTTATTGTGTGTTGGCTGCCCTTCTTCATCATCTCCCTGGCCATGCCTATCTGCAAGGATGCCTGCTGGTTCCACCTGGCTATCTTTGATTTCTTCACGTGGCTGGGCTATATCAACTCCCTCATCAACCCCATCATCTATACCATGTCCAATGAGGACTTCAAACAGGCATTCCATAAACTGATACGCTTTAAGTGCACAAGCTGACTTGCCAATTGCAGTGGGGTCGCTTAGGCGACCTTTGGGGACCAAGTTGGGTCTGGTTCCACAGGTAGGTCGAGTCTTCTTCCAGCTGTTACTGGGTCGGAGCGAGGCCCTGTGTCCTGGGCAAGGGCAATAGATTCTGAGAAGCCAGGAGAGCCCTGAGAGAGAGCTCTGAGAGGAGAACTGTTCAAAGTAAACATAGAGCTTTCCTGAGGAGGAAGATGCTCGCTTCCTTCCCTCTAACCCCAGGCTCAGCACTGACCCTGTGGCCGCAGTCAGTCACAAAGGGGGTTGCAACTTTTTAAAATTGATGATGGAAAGGGGATCCTTGCCCTGCTTTGGTATCATGGATGATGCCCTCTAGAACCAGTGGTACTTGAAGTTGTATGAAACCTGTTTGAGAGATCTGCATACAGCCTGGCAGTACTTGAACTAAACGCTTAATACCTTGTGTTTGGGGGGGAGAACTTTGTGTTTCAGCTTAATTTAAGAACAGTTACCTTGGCATCCTTCAGTCTTCAGTTTTTGTTTATTTAAACTTGGTTGGAGAAACTTGTGGATTTGGTGCTTCAAACACTACGTACCTGTGGTTTGGATGATGCAGAGAAACCTTGAAGAGTTGACAGCAAAATTCTTATGCTAAGATCTCTATTTTTATTATAATTGAAACTATATAGGGGAAGGTGGGTGGGAATGGGAGATGGGGAGTGTTCAACTGAGAGTCAACACTTATGATTGTTTGTTTTCTGCAGATTTGTAATTTTTTAATAACTGTTTAGTGATTGTCAAACCACAATTCTAATAACATAAGAAAACATTATGTATACTAGTACCAAAGTCTGCAGATTGCTTTATTTTTCCTCCTAATTTTGAATTTTTTAATAACTGTTTAGTGATTGTCAAACCACAATTCTAATAACATAAGAAAACATTACGTATACTAGTACCAAAGTCTGCAGATTGCTTTATTTTTCCTCCTAATTTTATGTACCTGTCATTTCACACATTTAAATCCCCATAAATGGAGGGTATAACGGGTGACTCAGCCCAAACTGCTGCTATATGTCTTATTAATGCAATCAGTTAAACTGATTAGTAGTAGATATATACTGTTCTTTAACAAGAAAAGTATCTTTTTTTCTGTCCAATTCAGTGAGATGTGAAGGAGACTGATGAATAGGAACGGTTCTTACACAATTAAGGAATAGGAGGGCAATAGGAGGATGTATATTTTGACTTGTAAAAAAAATCTTAAAATGCATGAGGCTTTTTTTCTGATAGTCATTTGCACTCTCCTTCCATCTGTGATTCCTTTGTGTGCTAATATATAGTAACCAAGAGAACTAGCTCCCTTCTTCAGAAATCTTGAAAATGCAGCAAGAGCCCTAAAACCTATATTAATGAGGAAACAAAACAAAACTTATTTCTTTTCCCTTGTTATTGGAGTTTGGGCAGGAACAAAGATTACTAGAAAATGACATGCAAGAACTTTGAAAAAGCTTAGAGAAGCTAATATCGAGTCTGTTTTCTTTTCAACTCACAGAACCAAATCTCAGACTTACTAAACAATCAGGAAACTAGAAAACATTTTGAACTTTGGAAATTTGTGACTGACCTGACACCTCAAAGAATATATATATAATGTCTGGAATACTTTAAATTTATCTTTCTTTTTGAATTTCAGCAAAGTTAGTTATCTCAAATTCACACTGAGGGCTTCTCGAAATAGGGTAAAATGACACACTAAAAGATGAAAAAATGCATTGTCTTAATAAAAAGAAGTAGCCCTGAAGAATCATCTGTGCAGAAAAAGATGTGTATGTGGAGCATTTAATATGCCAAAGAAGATTCACAGTCCTTTCTTTACAGGACTTTCTGCAGTTGATACCTCTTGTCTGCAGAAGCAAGTTGCCTTTGTAAAATGTATTCACTCCCTGCTCGAAGCTCCCCAGTCCAGACTGTCAGACAATAAATGTATTGAGCTGAAGTACACTGCTTACCTCCTGTGCATACCTTCACTTTGGGGTAATAACTTAAAAATATGCTATTCAAAGGTTCACCTGTAAGCTAAGTGAAAAAGGGAATTTTGATCAACATTTACACCTGTCACTAGAATAAGGTAAATTTTAGGCATTAGATAATTCTATACTTCTGCTAGAACCCCAAGGTTTTTTGATTGCTTTTGGTGACATTTCTTCTATGGAGGAATGTGCATAGAGCAGGGTATTTGTTTTTATGTTATAAATATGTTCGTTGGTCTTCCGTTTATGCAGCTGTGTTTTCTTTGAACCTGAGAGGCAACTAAGTCAACTTCTAAGAGTCTGAGGGGGAAAAATTAATTGAAACAAATAGCCATTTACAAATGATTTCTTTACAGGGCACATACAGTGATTATGTCCTCACATTAAAAAAACACAGTCAATTTAGTCACACGGGTTTGCCGTTTTATAGGCTACCCACCTAAATTTTGCTTGATGATTTGGCTGAATTGATTGGATTTGGGGCATATTGTGTGAAGTAGAAGCTTGCAAATCCTTGTAGTTATAAGAGATCATCATCCAGTATTGCACATGATTATGCAAAGTGTATTATTCATCCCAGGGATATGTGGTTAAGACTGTTAAGCTCCTTTGCAGTTACTGCTGCCTACAGCATTGTTTGTTTCATAACTAGACACGTGGCTTTTTTGCAGAACATGAAATGGGAGATGGAATGTTTAACTTACATAGAAATGAAAATATTTTGCATTGGTTGTGGTAGCAAATAACATTTTTTATATTGTTTACTGCACAGATTTTCACACAAGTATATGAATGTATACTCATCCAAAAATACAAATATTGTCTGTGTTTCTAGGAATTTTTAGAGTTTCCTTTTAAAAAATGGACACTGCACCAATAAAAGAATGTGTATGGAGTTTAAAAAATTTTCTACAGAAAAATATTCTTCACTTTTTCTCTCTATTGTCTTACTTTTGTCTTCTTCAACCAGGAAACCCTAAGAGAATTATAATTCACTTAAGCATTAAAATCTCAGTTTGTGTATATTTGACAGAATTTCTGTGACTGATAATTGCCTTTGGTATTCCACTTTTCAGAAAATGTATAATTGGGAATGAAATTTAGGAAAATAATAAAATAAAAGTCCTTTATGTGTTCTAAAAAGCACCGGGTAGTACTTCTCTTATTATAACGAAAGATTGGTTCATTGGATTCTGGGGTTGGGTTTAAGAATTTGAGCTGAGAATGACTAATAAGTGATACTGTGGCAGACTGGTATGTGTTCCGTGATTTGGGGGATTTAGTTAATATCTGTAGGAAGAATTTTAAAGTGCTGTTTATTTCAGAAGATACTATTCAATTTAAAGCTACTTTTCCTCAAAGTTTTTTTTCTTCTCTATATTAAGGCAAAATTCTTTTATATTCATTAAAATTATCATTCTCCCACTCCACCCCCACTAAAATTTGTGGAAGAAAATTTAGTACTTGGCTCTGAGGTTGCCAGTCATATAGTAATCTATTTTGCATATGAAAGTTTGTGTTTAACAATTTTGTTCATTAAAAATCTTACAGATATGGTTATGCATTTTTAATTTCAGAAAGTTTAGAGTTGGTCAGAACGTATTTTGCAAGATCTAGTGCCTAGTGTTGCTTTTTCAATGTAATAAAAGGTCATATGGCAGAACCTGGAAAAATAAATAAATAAAAACAATTAAACAGATTGTATTCCCATATTCTGCAAAGAGGGTAAGTCAGATCCACTATCACAAGGGTTTTCCAGGTCAGCATTTTTAGAGGGAATGTTTAGTTTCTAGGCTAGGTGGTGAGATGCCAAGGTACTGTATGGTGCTTAAAATACAAAAGGAGAAGGACAAGCTGAGTTAGAAGCAGGCACTGGGAGACCTGAGAAGAGTAGGCTGATCTATCTGAACACCAGTGAGGTAGACAGAAAGACAGCTTTTGGAGTCAGAAAGTCCTAGGCTCGAATCACAAATAAAGCATGTTAGAGCTGTGTGATTCTCTCTCTCAAATACTGTTTACTTACAGGTCGTTGCAAAGGCTGAGAGCTTATCTATATAAAGCACTTATTAAGATGCCTGACACTTTTTGGCTCTCAGCAGATGGCACCACTTCTTAGCCATTATTTCCTCTTGGCTCCTTTGTGGATGCAGGACACCTGTAGGATAGGAAAACAGGGCTACTTGGGAGCGGTTGGACTGAGGAAGACTAAACTAGCTTGAATGGGAGAAACTTCACTAAACTAAAAGTGATTTTAGTTTTTAAAAAATCACTTTTAAGTGATTTGAAACTAAAATTTTAAGGTTTGCAGCCTTTTACGATTGCTCCCCCCGCCCCCGGCTGGTGACACACACAGCCCAAAGAACAAAAGAGCACAGGAGATGGCTTGCAGTGTCTCTAATGGCCAAGAAGAAATTGCCAAATATTGAGTTTCTTCTAGCACCCTCTTTCTTATTCACTTTTAAACGCTGTTCCTCTTCTTTCTTGTCTAGAGATTTCTGCTTGTCTTCCCAGAGTCCAAGTCACTGGCCACATCCACATATTTTCTCAGCACCTCATTTTCTACTTCTCTGCTTTTTCCTTACCCACGTAAACTACATTAACTAGCCAGTAATGATGTGTAGGTTCTTATTTTAGCTGTGAAGGACTCATCAGGTAGCCGAAGGCTTTTACTTTATATAAAGGGAAACTGTTGATCCATATGAATGTGTAACTGGTGGGGGCAAAAACTTTCATCTGGGGCATTTAGTGGAGTTTTCAGAAGAAAAGACGATGATAGGGGAAGGGTGTGGGAAGCGAAGTCTCTGCCTTTCATCAAAACCCATCCTGAACCATCCACCAGGGGGCAGAGTGCCTCTGAGTTGGTCAGCAGATGCAAGTGCTCAGCATTCAAGAGCTCCAAATCCCTCTTCCAGAACATTTTGCAAGTGGTATTAACTCCTCTAGCTACGCTCAGTGAAAACAAAGATCCATGAGCTAAGGGAGAGGGGGCTATCACTGATTTAAAATAGTAGATTTTTCAAAACTGCTAATTCAGGCAGAGGATCCCTAGAGTATCAAAAAAATAAATAAATAAAACAAAATAAATACGTTCTTTAAGTATGCAAACTCAGTTATTTTCTTATTCCTCTCTAGTCCTAAAATACTGCTAAAATCTTAGTGTTTTAAAATATTGTGGCCTCTTATTAATGTGGCATTGAGTAAAATCAGAGATTAGAAGACAAAGCATTTCAGAATAAAGGGAGCTAATTATTTACTTGAACATTTTTCACCACTATGAATTTTCTCATCCCTGTGTTTTTCTTTTCAAATATTCTACTGGGTTTTAGGCTGATATATCCATAGTTCAAAGGTAGAACATTTGCCATTTACCATTTAAAAGGAGGTTTGCTTTTTAGCACAGAAGTAAGACGTTCTTATATATCAGTTGTTCCCTGGGGACAGAACTTAAAGTCTGTGTAATTTTGGTGTTTATTTTAAAAACAGGCATACATAAATGTGAGGACAATCTTAGGCATCCCAAAAATAAATTTCTATATTAGAAATTGGATTATATAAAAATGAGAAAATGAACAAGGTTATATCATTGCCATTCTTGTGTAACATAACGGTTCCTCCCTAGTGTTTTCAT